AGCGGGTCCAAAGGAGGGCTACAAAAATGATTTGAGGGCTGGAGCACCTCTCCTATGAGGACAGGCTGAGAGAGTTGGGCTTGTTCAGCCTGGAGAACAGAAGGCTGCGGGGAGACCTGATTGCAGCATTTCAGTACTTAAAGGGAGCCTATAAGAAAGATGGGGACAATCTTTTTAGTAGAGACAACAGTGACAGGATGAGGGGTAATGGTTTTAAACTAAAACAGGGTAGGTTTAGGCTGGATATAAGGAAGAAATTCTTTACAATGAGGGTTGTGAAACACTGGAACGGGTTGCCCAGAGAGGTAGTGGAGGTCCCATCCCTGGAAACATTCAAGACCAGGTTGGACAGGGCTGTGAGCAACCTGATCTAGTTAGTGGTGTCCCTGCTCGCTGCTGGGGGGTTGGACTAGATGACCTCTAGGGGTCCCTTCCAACCCAAAACTTTCTATGATTCTATGATTCTATGACCATGATGAATCTGGCATGCCATTCCTAACCAGATTGAGAATACCTTTGACACTGCTAACGTCTTTTCCAGTCCTAAATACTTATTTTGAACAGAACAATACACAATGCCCCTAAACTTTCACGGGCCCAAATAAAAAATGTTTAACCCCACTCCTTCACTGGCAAGCCCAATCTCAGTAACAGCTTCAATCCAACCCAGCACCAGCTAAAATCCACTGCTCTGGACCCCAAATGAGCCTGTAGCTCACAGAGCTTTGGAGACAGAGTTTGCCTGTTTGTACTATTCCAATTACAAATTGTATTGAGAGCTCTCTTGACTTAAAACATACACGTTTTTTCACCACAACAGTAAAACTTGCCATCTGGCTTGAGGTTTCCTAATAAATATATGCCCTTGCAGGTCACAAACTGACCTCAGAAAGGTTGCTTGCTCTTGACTAACAAAGCAAGCCACGTATTTACATATCGCCATCCAACATCAATGATAATACCAGTTTGAAACATTTGTAACTGCATATAGAATTCATAGACTATTACTAGAAGTGGGTCACAGGCACATGTATCCTTCTTTAAAGAGGTGAAAAGAAGCCTACAAACACTTTTGGATTTCCTAATCCTTATGACTGCTATAAGTAAAGGCTAAAGTTCGTCTATATCAAAGAGTAACCCAATAGCAGAATGCATTTGCATTTTCTCTTCTGGTCATCTGAATTAAGAATCTTTCCCCCCGAATGCCCCAATTGCGCACAAGAACAACATAACTGCTAATTAATTTTTCAGGGCACTGTGCTTTTACAAGCTGTAAGTACGACTTCTGAAATTCTGGCACTATTGCCTAAACTATACCTCTCGTACAACTACAGTACAGATCATGATTAACAGAGGAATTAACTTACCTTTTTGTTTATTTCTAGCATTCCAATGAATGAAAGAGGCAAGACTTGGAATACAGCAAGATAGAACAATACAGACTGTTGGATACCTGCCTGTGAAGGAACAATACTGAATATAGTTACTATACTTAAGGCATTTGTTAATGGTAGGACACTTTCATCTTCTACAATAATAACAAAGCATAATGTATCAACCTGTGTCCTTGTAAATTTTTTTGATCAATTTTCTAAAAAGTTAAGAATGACAGAGTTTTTCAACAAACTTACCTGCCGTGCTGCTGCAGGGAGCTTATTCTGAGCTGACTTTACAACCATTACCTCTTGAGGAGTATCCCAGCTCAGATACCTATTTGTGACAAGAAAGGCCTATCTTATTAAAAATAAATACATTATTTCACATAAAATGTAATCTACAATAACTAGGCAAATCTTTGTGTCCAGGCAAACTGTTCAGTATCTGATTTGGGAGAGGTGCCTGAGGTGTTTGCTGTTTGCAATAATACAAAACCCATAGAACTAGGAATGGCTTATTTCATACAGGACTGCAAGAAAAATTCTGAAAGTATGAACATTCACTATCTTCATTTTTCTTCTTCCCTTCACAAATCACTGCTTTCTTATGCTTCAGCCTGAAGGAAATAATTTCTTCTGAGAACTGAAAAGATGCGGTTTATCAGAAGCAGTAACTGCTCTGCTTTTAAAGAGCAAAATGGCTAACTGATGGAAAAGAATGCTTGCAAGTTAACAATGGCTTAAACTGTAAATGTGTTTTTCTTATGTTTTATGAAGTTTGTTTTACAGCTCTTAAAGATCCTCTCCTGGTATGTTGCTATTGCAATGTTAAAGGCTGTAAAATTGCCTGAAAAAAAACAATACCAGCCTAGTTTTTGTGGCATTTGTGGAACTTGATACCAAATTTGAGACCATAATAATTAAGCTGCTGAAATTCTTCTATAGAAAACAGCATGCAGGAACAGTACTCCAGGTAATGTGCTAGACTAACAAACTTGAAGTCAGCCATAGGATAGTACTAAAATAAACATGATTCCCTTTCCCCGGTATAGTACTAATGATTGTTAATTATATAAAGCCTGGTCAATGTTTAATACCTGAATTTGCAACAGGAACCGGCAAGGTATATTTTTTCCAGTATTTCTCCACTATCAGCAGAGAGACGTAGAAGCCAGTTCTGCACTGTCAAGACTATCAGAGAAGATTTATAGTCTGATGGACTTGGCAGCATTTCCCCCTACATTAACAAAAGGTTATCAGAAAAAAAGCTTGTACCAGGAGGATACATGACATTTTGACACAGCAACAAGAAAACAAAAGTTAATAAACATGCCTCGAAAACTAAAGGTGGAAAGCTGCCTGCTAATCACAGCAGGATCTCTAAGCTCATGTCTGTGCCAGTCACTTGATCATCACATAAATAATCTGTTGTCACACATTTTGCAAGGCAGTTACCTTTTCCTAGGAAAGACACCTTTTAAAACTTCCTTGCCTTGCAAAAATGAAGCGTAACTGCTTATCGATCTAATTGATACCAGTCTTGAAGAGACAATTGTTTAAGTATTGCAGAATAAGACATTCAGTGGTAACTCTGCAGTAACTGCTAAGAATGGTATTCACACTGCTTTATTTTTAGGCACCTCAAGGACAGGGCTAATATTCCTAAGGTCTGTGGATACTGGATGAGAGAAAAACTCCTCAGGGAGGTGGGAAATGAAATAATCTATTAGCTAGAAACAGCAGAACAGCTTTTGGGCAGAGTTGCTTTAATGGGTCTTCAGTTTATCTGCCTTTTTTTTTTTCTATGTTAACAGATCTGGTTAAAAACTAAAACTCCCACCTACTGCCCTTGCTAATTAAAAAATAAAGAAAAAATTAAACAGAATTTATGTTGTAAGGAATTACAGTTAGTTGCATAAGCATAAAGGCACTGTTTTTAAAATCTTCCACGAAAGCTCACAAACAAGCTTTTGAATGTGCTGTTGAGAAATTCAGAGAAGTATACCTCTAAATGGTCAGTCAAAATAAATAAGCACATTGCAAACCTTAAATGACCTAACTCCATAAAAACAATGAGAAAATAATTTGCAGGGAAAGAACACTCTGTTCTAAATATCTTTCAATGAAAGATACTAATTTGTTTTTTTGCACAACAATGCTCTAGTAAAAAGTATCTTACCAGTGGGCATTCCAATAATAAAGCATCTTCTATTTTTTCTGACTTAGAACACTTTGGCTTTTCATAAAGTATTCTTGGCTCTTGTGCAATGCTGGAGGAAAATGATCGCTAATTATTAGTCTACTTTATAAACGACTTTCTATCAACAAGTCATTTCATACAATTTTATAAATCCTGCCTCCTCTTTAAACAGGTCAGAAATCTAAACATCTTATTTTGTTTTGTAAATATAACCTGAAGTCGAACTCAAAATAAGGCCTAATAAACAGTAGTTAGTATAACGTAGTATTTAAAAGCTGACCTTCCCTATATTTCGTGGTTTGGTGTTGTGGGCTTTTGTGTTTTGGTGTTTTCTAATTAAATAACAAACTTAATAGTAACATTCTTACTTTAATGATGTACATTAAAAACAAAGCACATTCCAGAAATTATCATCCTGGAACCCTCCTCTCAAGCTCTTCCAGTGTTGCCTTTCATAATATAAAGGCGTGGCATTGTGTACAGGTATTTAAAAAAAACCAAACCAAAAAAAAAACAACCACCAAAGAAAACTACTACTAGAATAAAAGCTTTGTACTGTGCAGAGTTTTCCCCTCAGGGAGAGGATGAGACAAAGGTAAACTGAAAAGATGTTAGAAAGGTTAACCCAGTACTGAAAAGCATTCAGACAATGTAGCAATAAAATGCTGCTAAGCAGATTTAGATCTTTGCTCTAAGTGATAGATTAATTTAATTAACTCTCAGTGGTTTACAGAGTAAACTGACAGAGTAATTCGTCTTTTGTGTATCACACTGTCTCAAAACTGTTCCCACCACAACTGACTCAGCAACGCAGCTCTCCAAGTCCCTGCTACCTCCTTCACCAGAGGGCAAGGACGGGTGTACACTGGACTTCCCGTCCTTCACCCTGCCCTGTCCTGCCTTCCAAACTGTGCCTCTGCAGCTGGGCACGGAACAGCAGAGCAGCACATCAGACCAGAGAACTGACCTGCGAAATACATTAACAAAAACCAGCAAGTACTCCACACGCTGTACTTTTACATGAACAATGATTTATTTCCTTAATGCAGAATTCACATAGTACCGAGCTTGTTACATAGGCTGATCTTGTGACACATTCTTTAGCGCACTGCTAGTTACCAGATCACAAAGAACTACTGTCCATTTGGCTTTTTAGTGCAAAATTATAAAATGGTGATAACATTCCACTCCTATTCCAGTGCTCTGAAAGCTGAAGTTATACAGCACCAGTAAGATCAGACTTCCTTTCACCAAAGCAGGTGTCGCATTAAGACACAATGATATCCAAGTGTAATTTAACAAAGATTTATGCACCTGGTTATTTTTTGTTCCTAAGTAAATTCCACTCAATTCACAGGGGCTACTTGAATCAGTAAAGTTACTGACATGTCTAAAACAGAATCACAGTGTTAAAACTGTAAGTCAGAGTAACTTTTAATTGTAAATTTATTACCTGCTAATACAGCACTGGTAATTATCTAAGTAAATTCTTCCTCTTTCATACGCAATAGGAGATGCAGAATGAGTTGTCCAAACATTCTTGAATTTAGTACTTTCCTGAAACAGACAGTGATTGTAACAGTGATGGCTTTTGTAACAAACCTGGCTTTTGGAAAATATTTCATTTGGCTCCTGCAGCTTAATAACTTACTTAAATTGAACCTTTGCTGTTGAATACATAAAGGAAAATCTTGTGGGTTTTTTTTTGAACCAAATTAAAGAACTTTTTTTAGGGAAATTTTTCTTTTTTAAAAACCAAATTAAAAGATTTTTTTATGAGCTATTATGGGCAGTGTGAGTAATGAATATTTTGTCATTAACTTGCCTGCACTAAAATTAAAAGTGGCAACTAAACTTTAACGGCAACTTTTAAAATCAAGGACAAAAATCCCCGGAGTGTAAATATGCACATAACTCTTTTATATGTAATTAACTGAATTTACTGAACATTTGACTCCATTTTGCTGTTGGTGTTTTGTATGAAAGGTAGAAAAATATGTTTACAGTTATTTGCAAAAAGTGCCTAAAATGTTAATAGGATGAACTCCTCACATAGTTTCTTGCATGCATTAGAGACACCAGGAGCTCTATACCATCAACAAAGGTTTCAGTCTTACAAAAAAAAAAAAAAAAAGTGTAACTCAGATGTACTCATTTTTATTTCAATAAACTTTGCATGCCCATTGATCTGGTTGCATAAGTGGACACTTTAGCTGACTTCCAACAAATATACTTTCAGTATAACACAATTACCAATTCACTTCCATGTATTCACTTTCAATGTATTTCTATTAACTACAGCATGAGAGCAGTAATCATTTTGATTAAAAAAATCAAGTTCGCTTTAGTCTGTAATTGGCTTAATTCCTACTTTTTCTGTAACATAAATTTCACTGAGACATTAGGGGTATGTCTACCTGAAGACCTCTGCTCATTATTTTTGTTGTGAGACCTCCATTCAAATTTAACATCGATGCTCCTTAAAATACTATGAATTTAATATTGGTATTAAATATTAAGCCATCTTAGGGGAAGAAATAAGTGATATAAAATCTCATAAAAGGCTATTTCTAACGCGATTATGAGATTTACAAGTGCTTCTGCAGTTTTTCCACAGCACAGTCCTCTGCATTTCTAGGTCTGAGCCTCATAAAATAAATATAACCATTTCCAACTCTCTTCAGCAAAACCGCAGCTTTTTTTTCTCCCAGCTTGTTTGCCGGCGTGAGCAGGGACTCCTCAACGCCCTGCGGCTCAGGCCGCCGCGGCTGAAGGCCCGTCCACGCAGGGTGCAGCCGGCGCCGGGCGCGCCATTACCTGACAGATTATTCTTCTGAGGAGACCCAGGTTCTTCCTCTG